TCACCCGCAGCATCATCAAAGCCGCAAGGTAATGCTCAAGTCTCTGCTGCTGCTGCTGCTGCTGCTGCTGCTGCTGCTGCTGCTGTTGCTGCTGTTGTCTCTCCAGGTGTTTTCTGTTGTTGCTGCCTTTTGCTGCTGCTGCTGCTGCTGCTGCTGCTGCAGTTTGCATGCAGCTGCTGTGTCTCTGTTTGTCTCCTTGCTGCTGCTATCTGCTGCATTTTGCTGCAGTTGCTGCTCTCTATATATCTCGTGCTGCTGCTGCTGCTGCTGTTCTCTATGCACCTGCTGCTGCTGCTGCTGCTGGTGCTGCATGTGTACAGGGACCAGCAGCAAGACAGGGCGCTGTGGGCAGCGTTTGCTCGGCGTGCTGCTGCTGTTGCTGCAGCAATACCTGCTGAGGATCTGTGTCTCCTTTTGTCTCTTTTTGGGGGTTTAGGGCTTCGTTATACACCGCTGCTAGCAGCAGCAGCAGCAGCTCTGCTGCCGCAGCTGCAGCAGCTATCTGCTGCTGGTGTATGCAGAGCTATACAAGCATACGGACAGCTGCTGTGTATACACCCTGTGCTGCAGCAGCAGCTGCAGCAGCAAGCAGCAAGACATGCAGCAGCAATGAAAGCAAACCAAATAGCTTTTGTCTTTGCTTCTCTCGTCCGTCTCCGTTCTCTCCCTTTTCCTCTTTTTTGTGTATTAAGAGAGCAGCTGATTATAAAGAGAGACAGTTTGTCTCCTGGTGGGGTTGTTGTGTCTCTGCATGCAGCAGCAACCATCCACCANTTATAAAGAGAGACAGTTTGTCTCCTGGTGGGGTTGTTGTGTCTCTGCATGCAGCAGCAACCATCCACCAGCGCCAGCAGCAGCAGCAGCAGCAGCAGCAGCAGCAGATAGACAGCAAGCTGCTTGCTGCTCTTGCTGCTGCTCTCTGTCGCCTCGTGGGGGCCCTCAACCCCAAGGGGCTAGCTGTAGCAGCAAACGCGCTGCATAGGCTGCAGGTAAAGAACCAGTTCGTGCTGCAGCTTGTTGCTGCTGCAGCACAGCGCATGCTGCTGCAGCAGCAGCAGCAGCAGAAACAGAAACACAAGTATAAACACCAGCAGCAGCAGCAGCAGCAGCAACAGCAGCAACGCATGCAACCAAGAGACCTTGCCATGCTGCTGCATGCTGCTGTTGCTGCAGAAGCTGCTTCTCCTGCTTTTGTTAAAGCTGCAGCAGCAGCAGCAGCAAAACGCATGCAGACATACGACCTGCAGGCCCTGTGTCTCCTTGTTGCTGCTCTAACCAAGCACTTCCGTCAGCAGCAGCAGCAGCAGCAGCAGCAGCTGCTGCTGCAGCAGCAGCAGCAGCAGCAGCAGTACAAACAAAAGCAACGCTACCGCCACCGCCAGCAGCAGCAGGAGGAGGAGCAGGATGAGGAAGAGGACGAGGAGCAGCAAGTGCAACAGCAGCAGCAGCAGCAGCAGCAGCAGCAGCAGCAGCAGGAGAAAGGTATAACAAAAGAGGAGCTGTATAGAGTGCTAGAAGCAGCAGGAGACAGAGCAGGCAAGCTAGCAGCAGAACTCAGTCCCCTCGCTGTCTGCTGTCTCCTCAACTCTTTTGCTGCTGTCGGCTTCCGCTTCGGCCCCCTTCTCTTTCACGTACCCAGGCATGTGGCTCACTGCTGCGAGCCTGCAGCAGCAGCAGCAGCAGCAGCAGCAGCAGCACCAGCAGCAGCAGCAGGAGGGGGAGGGGGAGGAGGAACAGCAACAGCAGCAGGAATAACTGCAGCAGAAACAACAGAAACAGGAACAGGAGGAGAAGCAGCAGCAGCAGCAGCAGCAACAGAAACAGCAGGAGCAACAGCAGCAGGAGCAGCAGCAGCAGCACCTGCTGCAGCAGCGCATGCAGAGCGTTATACAGCGTGCATGCTGGCTGTCATCCTGCGGGCGTACAGACGGCTACAGGTGGATGCCTCGGCCTTGCTGCCGTATGCGTTTGCTGCTCTTCCTCAGCTGCAGCAGCAGCAGCAGCAGCAGCAGCAGCAGCAGCAGCGACAGCAGCGAGGTTCAGCAGACCCTGGGGCAGCGGATGAACAGGTAGGTCTGAATGGAGCGGGTACTGCGGCAGCAGCAGCAACGGCAGCAACAACAGCAGCAGCAGCAGCAACAACAGCAGCAGCAGCAGCACGAGAGGCCTCAGCAGCACCTCGCCCGCTGCTGCATTCTCTTGTATGGATCCTTGAGAGTGCTGCAGCCAACAGCTTTGTTGACAAGAAGGTAATTGCTGCTGCTGCTGCTGCTGCTGCTGCTG